TACAACGTTTTGCAGCAAATATAGGCCTATCATTGGGTAGCTACTAGATCGCCAAGAATAGCGTCATTCAGGCAGAAACATTGACTTAAAAAAACGTTTTACAAGCATATAATTGTACAGTTTCTATAACATTTATTGTCTTTAAGACCCGCAACAATTTCTGATCCATATAGGCATTATGGATGCTACTTTACAATCAAAAATCTTAAAAAAAATGTTTTATGTGGTAAACAAGAAATATGTTGAAATGAACTGAGAAAATACAAAAGTACTTTTTTCGCTTTTGGTGGCCATAGCCTCAGCATTTTGTACAAAGATAATCTGTTACTAAAATATATTCCCAACATATGTGAAACCACTGAACAATTTTTCTAACTGGTTACCATTATACTGCCATTTTTCTCTTCTAGATAACTGACCACCTCTTTTAAATACAATTACTTTAGTTTTTTCAATATTAACTACAAGTTTACTACTAATGCAAAATTGTTTGTAACAAGTTTTAGTTGTTTTTGTAGACCGACAATAGTATCTGAAAAGTAATGCTATATCATCAGCAAACATAAGTAAAAATACTTCAACAATATCAGGAAAAAGTTGGATACCTCTGATATCATTTTCCACCATTAAAATATACAATTCATTAATAAACAAAGCATAAAACAAAATTGGACTCAAACTACAACCTTGACGAGAGTCCTTTTGGACATTCAAAAATATTTGAAAGATTCCCATTTGAACGTACACATGATTTAACAGAAAAGTATATACTTTGAATTGTATTATACAATTTACCCTTAACTCCATCTCTTCTTAAAATATCGTATAATATTGTGTGGTCCACGGAATCAAAAGCCTTCTGAAAATCTATAAAGGCTACATATAAAAATCGACGTTTCATATTAAAAATACCTAGAGACAATTGATTGCAATACAAATGCGTTATCAATAGTACTATATCCGGCTCTGAATCCTGCTTGGGATTCAGAAAGTTTATTAAAAGCTTCGGCGTAAAAAGTAAGCCGTTTAGTAACAATTGTAATATACACTTTACTAAGTACATCAAGAAGTGCAATGCCCCTATAATTATTGGGATCATTTAAACTTCCTTTCTTATGTAAAGGAATAATAATTGAAGTTGCCCAACTAGTTGGAAATTCACCTTTCGTAAAAAGTCTATTAAATAATTTACGAATATACGGTAATATATATTGAATACCGTAGGCAAGTTGCTGCGGCAAAAAAGATTACCCCGAAGCTTTCTTAAGTTTAAGTGATTTGATACTTGTCAGTATCTCTTCATCATGTGTGTTAAATCTACATCTTCTGAGCCGGTTTCACTATGCTGATTTTGTATTAGTATTAGAAAACAAATCTCTAAAATGATTATACAGTCATCTAATGATATGTTAGATTCAGTTTTAGATTTAATAAGTACACTTTTTATTTCCGCGCCAAAATCTACGCGGGTCATGAACACATGAGTCTACTTTTAGATAAATACTTTTTAGTATATAACCAATGTTTATGTTAACATAAATTTCTATAATATCGTTTACTTTTCTAAATAAACTTTTAATGTTTCATTACATTTTCTTTTCTGAACTTTTTAATCAATATTTTGCGATTTTCGTTTTGCTTCTCTACAATTTGAATCAAACCATGCATTTTTTCTCACTCTATATTTTTTTTCTTATTTTTTTAAACTCAGTACAACTTTTATTTATTGACATTTCAAATTCTTGTATAATATCATTAATATCACAATTGTCATTATTTAACATATTGTCAACCGACTGGAAATTACCCTGTAAAATATTTTCAGATAAATTCCTGCGGTATTCTTCGCAATTGCACTATTTAAATCATAATACACAACAGTCGGATACCACATGTTTATCCCTGCTTTGCTTTTGTGACGTAATCATTGATAAAGACAGTGGAAAATGACAACTTTCTGTATTTGATTTGATTTCAAAATTTTTTTACACGATCCATCAAACTTTTTGTGAGAATATAGTAATCTATTGTACTGCATCCATTTTGATTTACAAAAGTATAACCATCACTACCAGTACTTCTGCCAAATCTTCCGTTAATGATATAACAAGAAAACACTTTACAAAAATCTATTAACTCTCTTCCAAACTTATTAATTTTAGTATCACAGTTTTCTTAAACGTTAAATTGTCAATTGATATCTGATTTCTATCCTATTTTACAACATGAAGCGTACAAAAGTTGTTGGTGCTTTTTTTCCTGGGCGCCCTGGACACCTTATTATAATACAAAAATCTACCACGAATCTACCACATCATTATGTACATGTAACATTATTGATAGAAGGTCAAACATAATCTTCAACTTGATTGGACCCCTAGGGTTATTCAATGGTATAATAATGTTGGACTTAGAAAAAAACAACACCAAAACATTTGATTTTGTCAATGATAATATTTTGTCTGATAAATTACATTTATCAGGTGACAAGTATATTTAAGAAATAACATCGGCCTGAGAGGTGTATATCGGCTATTTAACACCGGTTTGGAGTTTTGATGCGTAGGAATTGACCACGAAGGCCGTAGGCCTGAGTGGTTAAAATTTGTCGCATCAAAACGACAAATTTTGAATGCAGATGATAGGAAAATACTGTTTTGCACAAGGATCAAAAAAAATATAGCCCAAAAAGCTCTGATTGGTAAATTGATTATAAATTAAATCAAAAGTTAAAAAAATATTTTTTTTTCTATTTCACAATGAAATCTCTGTCTGAAATTAAATATCTTAGTTTGAATATCGATTTTTCCCTACCATGATAAAACACTGAACATTAAGAGCATTCTTTCAAAGGTGAATAAAAAAGTGATACCTCGGAACCATTAAAACCAGCAAAATTACATAAAAATTGCAGACTCGGTTTGATTGAGTCTGTACATGAGGGATAATGAAACAGTGCAACATCCTCACGCCTCTAGGACAGAGTTGAGCGTTACTCAATTCTCAACACTTAAAAGTCAAGTGCTGGACTCGATGATTCCAAAGGACAAGAAAATTATAACAAAACTGAAGTGATGTATGGGGCAACTTCTTACGGCTGCTACACAGCACTTGACACCTGCTGTTCTGGAGCACAGACTTCGAATAGCTCAAAATTAGGTGGTGCGTTTTATAAAAGACTATATCCGGAGGAATTTTTTTAACAAATTTTTAATAATGTGTCTGATCTTAAAATATCGAATGTCAGCAAAGAGTTAGACAGTAAAGACTTAACCACATTCATAAAGTATACTATAAAAAAGCCCTTCTCCCTTGAATAACTTGCTTATGTTATGTAGAGAACTAAATTTGAGATCTAGTAAATTGAATTTTGTTTTGCAAAAAATTTTTTCATGTTGTGTTGCAAACACGTTTTTCTACGGTTCCACAAAAGACTAAAAATATTTAACAGACAGCATTAGGTCAATTAAAAATACTCAAACAATAAAAAACGAAAGTTAAACTTTTTCTTAAATAATGAAAATGACAAAAAAAGTGAATAATATATATGTTAGATCAATAAGCTCAGGTATACATATATATAATTAATTCACTCTTTAGAAAAGATGGATTTAAATACAAACTGTATGCTTGTCAAAGATACAAGACAGAGTATTATCTCCCTTATGCCATTTCCTCCATATGAAAGTTCTCCCTAATTTTGAAAAATGCATACAGTCCCCACACCCAACCCACCCCCAGAAAGTTAATTTTTATATTTGATCATTTCTTTATTGGTATATATACTCGTATAAATATAAAAATAATGGTAGCAAAATTTCAGACCCTGATATGCTTATTTGCAAAATCCGAAAGTAGTATATTTGATAAAAGAGACAGGGCATTGTATCATAGATAACCTTGTCCTCTCACTATTTCATATATATGATGCTTATATCAAGTCATTGATGTTTTCATATACATTTTATATGTATCACATACATAATAGACTAGATATGTTATAATGAATAAGTATTGACTTTTTAATAGACCTATTTTATGTATAACATGCTATATCATGCCATTGCTGTTATGTAACTGCTGATTGTATTATTACTGTGTACTGATGGGCATATTGCCTTTGTATGAATAAAGTTTATCTATCTATCTATCACGAATTCCTCGAAGCGGTTACTTCCCGTTATTCCCTACACTAACGCCGAAAAATTAAGGGTAGATCACTGCGTAAATATTGTCAAATGACAGGCGCATTAATTTTCAAACCTCTAAGGGACGAAAAAATAGTTCCTGATTGATCGCAGATTTCTAATATTGTACGTGCAATTCTTTAACATTTCCGCAAATTTAATACCGGTTATAGATTCAAATAATTTTGTTACGCGGATGAATATAATTTTAATCAATGAAAATAGCTCAGCTATTTCTGTAAAGCTTCGTATTGTTGTTATTGCCTAAATGAACATTTGTTATTTAGACTTTCTTTAAAATAAAGTAAGGATGTTGAATCTAGGACAGGGATATGGTTATTTACATCAGTGTTTAACAACAAACCCTGCTTCAGGCTGACTTATTATAACTTCCCCTAGTTCCAGGGGTTACACGCAGAGGTCTGGGATTCGAATCCCATATAAGGCAACCATTTTTTTTTTTATTTTTTTAACTGTTCAAGCAAAATAAATATTGAATTGAATATCAGTGTTGCAATTAGCCTTATTGCCAATTTACTACAGTTATAACACTCGAAACAGCATTGCTGACACTATACAAAAACAAATTGGTTTATAATTTCACAACCTTCACCTTTCTGACATTCTGAGACCCAAACAAATTCAGCGCCTTCTGTGCTTTGATTCTATAAAGGTCGGCAATCCAAATGCGGTAAATGGTGCGATATAACAGATTTTAGAGAAGACATGAAATATAGTCTCTAAATAGTATAAATCCGTAAGTTTTCACTTTAAAGTGATATCAATTTTATAAGAAGTAGTAATTTTTTTGTATCTTTTATGAATATTTTTTATGATATATCTATAAATTTTGAGATATTTTCTCATTAGAGTATTATTTTGTATTGGGTTTCAAGGCTATTAACAAAAAGTGTGACGAAAAGTTGAAATATAGAATTTTCATTTGTGAAAACGCTGGATTCAAACGGTAATTTTAATCATGACTAAAAAATAACGAATTAAGACGTTATTGATTTCTGTTGATTGTTTACTAATACCTGTAAAATTAGAGTTACTAGCGTTAGAAAATTAGATCTAGATTCTATTCATACTTGTTGAAGCGGGTGGGTGGGGCGTAGTTTAATACATTAAAATTATCATTAGGTGCGTTGATTGTATTTCAATACGAAAATACCATTGATATCCAATACATTGTAACACTGATATAAAAAAATATTCTAAACAGATTATAACATTTGTGCCATGGATACCAGTATCGGTAATCCTATAACTTAAGATGCTTCCATTAGTATTTTTGGCGCAACTCTATTACCGACATACTCTCAGTATATTGTGTAGCTAAAGAGACTTTATTGAACAGGTTTTATAGTATCCTGTTTTCTCGTATTCTCGGGGGGCTAAGGATTAAATTATAATTTGCAAAAGATTAAAAAAAAAATCTGAAGGAAATTGATGTATATGTCCAACAAAAATATATATTTATCAAATCTAATACGACAAAACTAGTGAAATTGTAAGTTAAACAAGTAATTTTGATGTTACAAATACTGACCTTCACCCTCTTGATTAGCCAGACGCTTTCTCATATTCTCGGGGATTCTGATTGGTTGCTATGGCGGTCGCTATGTGTCATTTACATTCTACACTTCAGTTCATAATTGTTGTGCCACAAGTAATTGATAATTTGGGAACAAATTGAAGAAAATAATTTAAGTTTTAAATGGCTTTACTTTAGATTTTCTTTGGTATCAATGACATTTGAATAATAAATTACTTAAAAATAATAATTATTTTCAGAAAAATATGCCAAATTAATTAAGATAAAATATTTTATGAATATTAATGTTTTTGATTGTGGTGGTGAAGATGTTGATGATGTTAATGATGATAAAATGGTAATATAAATAATAATAATAACAATAACAATTATAATAATGGTAGTAAAAGGAATGATAATTATGATGTTGATAACAAAAAGGATGATGATGATGATATTGATAACAACAAGGATGATGATGATGATATTGATAACAACAAGGATGATGATGATATTGACAAGAACAAGGATGATGATGATGAATTAAATCTATATTTGACAATGAATGCATTTGAAATTGCTGTGACGTCTAACAACACGAATTTCTGTGCAGAAACGTAAATGCACCCAATGACTGCAATTGTCACACTGGGCCCAGGAAACAATTTTAATGTCTGGATTGTTTCGTAGGGTTGGTGGAGTAGTTTTTCCACATACACAACATGGAACATCATCTATGATCTCATCCTCAGAATCAAAATCTACTACAACTGGATCTCGTCGGACATTTACACCACTTGTTGATGGGCGAGGGCTTGACTGTGGTAGTACTTTAGAAAGTGCAGTACTTGTTCCCTTTTTAGGAACCATGTTTTCTTTTTCAGCTTGTTTATCAGTCTCATATTTATTCATATCATCAAGGTAAGTGTCTTCTGTAATTGCTCTGCCTCCTGGTTTTGGTTTCACAAACAGTTTACGTTTGTGACAATGGCACTTTGAGGCATCTGGTTCAGGTGATTTAATGTTCTCAGCTTTCAGGCGTAAAAATTCTTGGACAGCCTCTTTGCCAGATTTGATTGCACATACCTTTTCAATAGGTTTCTCTTCTCTAAATGTTTCGCAAGGGAATAACTTGTCTTGAGATACAATGTCTCTGTTTAAAGGAAGGATACCCGTCTTCCTAAATGCTGACTGTACATTCACTGGGCTCATTGCTTTCAAATTGGCTCTACAAGAAAGCTGTGCCATGTCATACCTTGAGATTATTTGTCCCATGTTCCTCTGCATAAAAGAAGCACATTCCTGGTAATAAAATGTTTTGAAAGGACCAAATACTGCCACGTCTAGAGGTTGGAGAACATGTGATGTATGGGCTGGCAAAACAAAGAGTATAAGATGCCTCTCCTTGGCCCATTCAATTAAAGATGGTGGGACATGAGAAGCATGACCATCAAGAATCAATAAGATGGGGTCATCTTTGGTTCCGCCTCCACCAATAAGTGGGAGAAAATGTTCCTCAAGATATCTTTTAAAAATAGTTGAGTTGGACCACCCAGAGTCTGAAACTACACCACGACTACCAGGACTTGCACCTTCAAGCAGGTCTTCATAATAACGCTTCCCTTTGAAGATGAAATATGGGGGTATGGCATTACCTAATGCATTTGCACATGCAATTAAGGTAGTGGTAGTTGACCTAGGTGATGTTACTGCTTGAGGTTTGCTTCCTGGCGTAGCAATAACATTTGGTGGTCTGTGATCAGGCTGGATACCAGTCTCATCCACGTTATATATCAGTTGGGGTTTGGACTGCAGATCATATTTGGTCATTATCTCTTCTAAATTCTTGAAATAATTATCAACTGCTTCTGGTGTTGTTGATTTAGCACGTGTTGACTCCAACTTGCGTGGTGTAAGAGAAGCTAAACGATGTTTCCATCGAGAAAGGAAAGCATACAACCAGTTATTGCTTAGTGGTTTAGTTTCAGTTCTTCTTCCAAGGTGATTCATTAACTCACCAGCCATCACTTGAAATTGACGATTTGAAAAACCATAACCTAATTCTGCCATAACTTCAGCATGAACCACTAAAGTTTCCTCTTCTTCATAGGTCAGGGTCGTTTTAGGACCTGTTCTGCAGGAATAGGGGTCTATTGCACCTCTAGTTCTATCTCTCAGAGTTTGGGCTGGTACACCAAAAGACCTTGCTGCCTTTTCAACATTCCAACCCTTCTCTTTGACAGCTTGATAAGCAAGTATCATATTCTTGGGGTCATACTGACGACTCTTATGAAGTATTTGATTTGGATGATTCTAAAAAAAAAGTAAAAATAAATAAAAGTTTTGGTGTTGTTAAAATAAATTCAATGCATGTTGACCATGATATTTTTTAGAACAAAAGAAAATGATTAAGAACAAAAGAAAATGATAAAGAACACAAATTTTTTTTAATTGATTTTTAATTGGCGTTTTGGACCACTAACATTAACAGAGTGGAACAGATATTTTGAACAGAACTCTATATATAGTAGTGTTCAACCTAGGTAATTTTACAGCGTCTACCATTACAGATCAGTTTCCTGTTGCTGCGGTAAGAATTTAAATGATGAAATAACGTTAATTTTGGTTTCTATAGCAAATATATACTGTTTTTTGGAGATATTTTAACAAAATCATGACATATTTATAGGTTTTACATGCTTCTGTCTCATTTTCTTTATTTTACTGTTGAATAATGATAAGCGCAAGAAAGTTGATGCGTTTTCGGATATCCGAGATGGTCACGAGCGTGGATTCCTTCCGTTTTTACTCAGTCACGAGAATATGAGAAACCCCGAGAATACGAGAAATAGGGATACTGCTAGACCTGTTCCCTTAAGCCTATTCTGTATTGAAAGTCAACCAGAACTGTAGTCCAATAGATTAGACGTTACAGGCTTGTTATAGTTTTATGTTGGTCAAGCCTGACGTCTAATAGTTATTGCTCATAAACGCGTAGCATTTTGAAAAATTAAAAAAATGTCTGTTGACTTGCCTTTCAAGCTTTATTCAAAAGCTTATCTTCTGTTCTTTCAATTGCATGGTCTATCATTAACAAAAACTTTCAAACAATGAAATTATCAATTAAAAATAAAATATAAATATCAGTCTATTTTGCTCATCGGCCATACTGGTTAAGTAAAGCGTTTTACAGATTGTTTCCAATTTTTTGAACGGAAAAATATATTCGAACCCACGGTGCATGGGCAATAATTTGTTGAAAAAATATTCCGTTAGAAACTTCTGGAATCATTTAAACGCTTGCATTTGAATTAGCCAATCAGATTTCGCGCACTGTATGGCGGTCATTTGTATATCGGCTGTACAAGGAATTTAATTAAATGAGAGGATTTAATCATGACTTTTCGGATGTGACAGTTCAATTTTTTTGTTAAAAGGTATTCATTTTTTACTTTTGTTCATAAATAGGTCAAAATTAATGTAAATACACGCTGTTTTAATTGTTTAAATTCATTAGATCTAAATCGATGTCTAATGTCAATTTTTTGCTACACAATTTTGCAAAGATCTGTTCAGACCTAACGTAACATGGAAAATGAAAAATGTAAAATATCAGATTAATGAATGATAAATATGAAATAGGTTACGTATAGGTCTTATTATTAGGACTACCAGAACTGTGACATATTTATGTCATGCTGTATAAATTCAATAAATTTGTGTGATCTGGACAAGGCTATTTTTATACAGGTAGTTAGATATATTTAGTGCACTTCATTCTATCTATCTTAAGTTAATGCCAAATCCCTCCCGTGGACATATAGTACAGCTCAAGCGATTTTTGCACTTTCCGCTTTCTCACCATGGACATTTTTAACGGGGAGTGGAAAATAGCTTCACAGACATATTATTGTCAGTCACAGTGGAAAATCACCGCTGATAATATAATTCCTGCAATCCCTGGTGGAAAATCACCGAGATTTGCTGTGATAAATATCCCATGTAAATGTTCACGTATATGTACAATGTAGTCTTTTTAGAGAAAAATCATAACAATTATCTATCCTTTAATGACAACCATAACATCATCTGTATATTAAAAAAAATCAGTAGTTTTGAAGTTCCATTTGCGTAAAAAACTATCAAAATCAAAATGCCATTATGATCAATAATATGTCAGTAATTGACACGATAATTAATATGAAATTAGGTGCTACCTATGGCGCGGAAATATCTTATGAACTATGATTTGAGCATAACATGTTTAGTGTACATGTAAACCAGATCTTTCTTGCAGGTATTTTGTACTGTAAATGAAACAAATAAATTGGTGGTGTTCAACCTATCGTCGAACCGCTCAGAATATTCCGAAAATCTCCGAACGTAAAGGGGGACCACTGCGCACGCGTCGGCGTTTGGAAAATCCCGTCCACCATTTTTTGTTAATCTCTAATCACAGTTGTTGTTTTAACGTTATTTTTAATGTGCTAATTTATCAAACAGGATATGTTAAAGTAACTTTTTATATTTATAATCGTTACTATAGTTCTTATCAATGAAATGCATGTTTACTTTCTGATTTTGCACATCATTCTCTCACCGGAAGTGTTATTTAGCAGACGCTAGCAATAGTCTAAATTATGTAGACGCTCATTAAAAGCGCTCTGATATCTATATTTAGCTCAAAAGGATTTCAATTCATTTGAATTGATACGCGTCATACATGTTATCTAAGAGCGCTACAGCCCTCGCGGGGCCTTTGGCCCCGCTCGGACTTTCCGCGTATTAATTTACTTTTGTGCAATAATGAAAATGTGTAATTGTTTCTTGGAGAAAAAAAGATGATAGTTTTTTAGCTCGACTATACGAAGTATATGGAGAGCTGTCCTACTCGCCCCGGCGTCGGCGTCCGCGTCCGCGTCCAGATTTTAGATTAAAGTTTTGGTGCAGTAAAATATTTTTCACTATAACTTTGTCATTTCTTAAGGTATCAACTTCAAACTTCAAATATATGTTCCTTATCATCAACCACATCTTATGTGACAAGGTTCATAACTCTAGCACCAATATTTTCAGATTTATCTCCCCTTGAACTTAGAATTTTCCTTAAAAAATACTATTTTTTACTGTTACTTCTTTATTTCATAAGGGATCAACCTCATACTTCAAATGTATGTACCTTATCATCAACCACATCTTATGTGACAAGGTTCATAACTCTAGCACCAATATTTTCAGATTTATCTCCCCTTGAACTTAGAATTTTCCTTAAAAAATACTATTTTTTACTGTTACTTCTTTATTTCATAAGGGATCAACCTCATACTTCAAATGTATGTACCTTATCATCATCCCCATCTTATGTGACAAGGTTCATAACTCTAGCACCAATATTTTCAGATTTATCTCCCTTTGAACTTAGAATTTTCTTAAAAAATGTTATTTCTTACTGTTTCTTCTTTATTTCTTAAGGGATCAACCTCATACTTCAAATATATTTACGTTATCATCCTCCCCATCTTATGTAGCAAGGTTCATAATTCTAGCACCAATATTTTCAGATTTATCTCCCTTTGAACTTAGAATTTTCCATAAAAAATATTATATTATTTACTGTTACTTATTTATTTCTAAAGGGATCAACTTCATACTTCAAATATATTTACGTTATCATCATCCACATCTTATGTGACAAGGTTCATAACTCTAGCACCAATATTGCAAGAATTATCTCCCCATAAACTTAGATTTTTTTACTAGAAAAATGTTATTTTTTATTATAACTTTTTTATTTTTAAAGGTATCTACCTCAAACTTCAAATACTTATTCCTAATCATCAAATACATTTTATGTGACAATGTTCATAACTCTTGAAGCAATATTTATAGATTTATCTCTCTTTGAACTTAGGATTTTCTTTAAGAAATATAATAACTTCTTTACTTTTTAAGGTATCTACTTCAAACTTCAAATATATATTTCTTATCATTACACAAATGCTGTGTGACAAGGTCCATAACTCTAGCATGACTATTTCTAGAATTATTCCCCTTGATCTTGGAATTAATGTTAACAAATGTTATTTTTTTACTTTAACTTAATACATAATTATACATAATTGATTTTTCTTTCATAGTTTTGTCCTCCTTACTGCGTCCAGTATTTTATTAGTCGAGCTTCGCTGTCTCCTGTGACAGCTCTTGTTTCTGATATATGAAGAAGTTTGGAAGTCAATTGAATGTGGATACTTTTTTGATGATTTGGCAGGTGTGTAAACATCAAAGATTGACAGATTCTTTTGAAGAGCTAACTGTTCATTTGTCAGAGGTTATCTCGTGTGTAAATTTTGTGTATATTATTTAATAATGGAAATATTATATTTCATTTATTATGCTCACCGAAAAATTTCAATTTCATCTGGTTGTCCATCCGTCCGTTCGTACGTCCCGATTTTGTGTCCGGCCCATAACTTTGTTATTTGAAGTTGGATTTTAAAACTATTTCACAGAAATGATCACCATATTGAGACAATGTGTCGCGCGCAACATTTGGATCGCTACCTTGAAGGTCAAGGTCACAGCATGACCTTGCAGCAAAATCGTGTCTGGCCTATAACTTTGTTATTTGAAGTCCGATTTTACAACTATTTCACAGAAGTGATCACCAATTTGAGACGATGTGACACGCGCAACATTTGGGTCGCTACCTTGAAGGTCAAGGTCACAGCATGACCTTGCAGCAAAATTTTGTCCGGCCCATAACTTTGTTATTTGTAGTCCGATTTTACAACTATTTCACAGAAATGATCACCATATTGAGACGACGTGTCGTGCGCATCATTTAGGTCGCTAGCTTGAAGGTTAATGTCACAGCATGACCTTGCAGAAAAATTGTGTCCAGCCCATAACTTCGTTATTTGAAGTTTGATTTTACAACTTTTTCACAGAAATGATCACCATATTAAGATGAAGTGTCACATGCAACATTTGGGTCGCTACCTTGAAGTTCAAGGCCACAGCATGACCTTGCAGCAAAATCGTGTCCGGCCCATAACTTCGTTATTTGAAGTTGGATTTTACAACTATTCCACAGAAATGTTCACCATATTGACATGACGTATCAGGCAAAACATTTGGGTTGCTACTTTGAAGGTCAAGGGTACAGCATTACCTTGCAGCAAAACCGTGTCCAGCCCATAACTGTTATTTCAAGTCAGATTTTACAACTTTTTCACAAAAATGATCACCATATTGAGACAAGG